ACCTCACAGGAATGGTTGTGGCCCTTTCCCCGGTCCTGGCAGGGGTATGGCCAAGGCCTTCCCTTTGAAAAGGACAGGAGTGGATGGAATGCATAGGCTGCGTCTAGATTGGCATGATTTTCCGGGAAATGCTTTTAACGGAAAAGTTTTCTGTTAAAAGCATTTTCGGAACAGAGCATCTAAGATTGGCAAGGACGCTTTTCCGCAAAAGCACTTTTTGTGGAAAAGCGTCCATGCCACTCTAGACGTGCTTTTCCGCAAAAAAGCCCCGATCGCCATTTTTGCGATTGGGGCTTTTTTGTGCAAAACAAATCTGAGCTGTCTACACTGGCCCTTTTGCGCAAAAGCTTTGCACAAAAGGGACTTTTGCCTGAATGGGAGCAGCATAGTATTTCTGCAAGAAGCACTGACAATCTTACATGAGATCGTCAGTGTTCTTGCGGAAATTCAAGCGGCCAGTGTAGACAGCTGGCGAGTTTTTCCGGAAAAGTGGCTGATTTTCTGGAAAAATGGCCAGTGTAGACACAGCCCTAGTGTTTAAGGATAGCAAGAGCGCTCCCTGATATAACTGCTAACGTGTTTCCCTTTTTTACTGCTGCCCCTGCTCCCCCCGCCCCACTAGCACCATAGGCAGTCTGGTTGCATGTGGGCTCTGATAGCATAATGCTGCCTCCCACTCCTGATACATTGGCCCAAGCCAGTTGCAAGACAGCTGCTGCCCCGGAGGGGCAATAACACAGTGGCAGTTCACCAGGGTTAGCACCTGGTGGGCCACTGCCACTCTAGTTACCTGCATCGCCGCAGGTACCAGCGAGCACAGTTCCCATTGGCTATGGATCGCCATTCTTGGCCAATGGGAGCAGTGAGACCGGGACACCACTTCCTGCTGCTCCCATTGGCTAGGAAAGGTGATCTGTGGCCAATGGGAGCTGTGATCACCAGCACTCGTGGCCCTGCAGAGAAATATAGCGGTGGGGGAGCCTGCCAGGAGCTAACCCAGATCCAGCCTGCGGGCTGGTATTTGCCCACCCCGAATTAGACATTTTTCTTCTCATGAAAGCAGGAGGCAACACGGTTCAGTTGGCAGCTGGGACTGGGCGTCAGGAGTTCTAGTTGCAGCTCTTCTGCTGCCTGTCAACACCTCGCTTCCCCTCACTGTGTCTACTGGGGGCAGTGAGGATGTCCAATGGGGGCAGTGAGGACCTTCCTTCATCATCTGTGGATGAAGAGCAAAGAATTTTTGGCATGATGATGTCCATACAAGGTCTGGGGAGTTTTGAGCACTTTACCCCCCCAATCTCGGGAGCAGAGAACCGTTAGAACAGCTACCAAAATTCCTCCGGTGCATAAGGTAACCTGATGTTTCAAGTCAAGCCACCACCAACCGCAACATGTGGCTGCCTATCTATCTACCACAGCTTGCAGTGCTCCCTTTGCACGGGGCTCTATCTGGTTTAATAAAGCATTGCCAGTTGCACTTGTCTCTGCAGTTTGCACCTATTAAAGATGAGCAAAGTCTGCTCTGCCTTTTTTGCAGATTAGATGTAGCACATGGAAAGTTGCCAATGTAGCCTTTAGTCCGACAACATTTGAGCACCTTTGTTTTACTCCCGTCCTCTGCTTGCTGCAACATGGAACAATTCTGCACCCAGGGATCAGAACTGACACCTACTGCTCTTGCTGCCATCGGCCAATCCTTGCTAGAAAGACTTTGCAACATTCGCATTTCAGTTCCTGGCCGCAACACGCTGCTAAGTGGGAAATCATGTTTTCCATTACCCTTCTAGCTGCGAGCCTGCCTTTGTCTTGGGTATCCATTTCATAAAAGCTTTTAAAGTCATAAATAAGAGGCTTGCTGTGGAATGAATGTGATTCCCTACTGAAAATCCACATATTCAGGTAGGCTCGCAAGCTGCTCAGGGACAAAACCAAACAATATAAACCAGGCCACAAGGACGGCTTGAGGCGGGATATCAGCTCAGCAGCAACCCTTCCACACCGGGCCGTGAGCAGGGCGGGGCGCAGGGTGCAAACTCCAAGGGTGGAAAAATGGGACAGAGAAATGTCCTCCTTCCCTAAAATGGCCTAGGGCACAATCACGCGTGCTTTCCCCCGGCATTAAAACGTCCAGTTACAACCGCTCTACCTCCTCACCGATGGCATCAGCAGGCAATGTGGGAGGCGTGTCTAACACGGAGGCAGAAGGAAGGGGTTAACATGACAACAGCTCCCCATAGAAAGGTCCCATCCCTAGTGCCAAGTGGGGCTTTTAGTCATGATGGATGGGCATAGACCCATGGCAATGGGCTTATGCCCCCCAGTATCAAGGCAGCCCCATTCATTTGCTGCCATCTCCCCTCACTGGAACGCCTGAAACCACTCACTCCGCTTGGCCTCTCAGCTGGAGAGACCCGGGATGGCTGGCAGGCTGCCAGCACTAGCAAATGGGAGCCACTGTACAAAGCTTCTGTCTTCACTACCCTGCATGCTGGGGGATTGTGGGTAGTGGATTGGCCCCAGCATCACAACACTGGCTCTTCTCTATCAGCAGGCTGAGTACTCGTCCCCTTCTGGGCTTAGCATTTACTCCCTCTTCTCCCATCTCATGAGCTCGTCACCCACTCTTCCTGCAGAGCTTCACCAGGCTTCAAAACAGGTCGATGCAACGTGGGCCCCGACTCCCCCCTGCGCTGGCGCCGGCCAGAGCGTTGCCTTCAGACCGGCTCCATCAGAGAAACCGGCTGAGGGATTTCACCTCAGAAAGATGAAGCCAATGCAAGTCGGGGGCTGGAAGGCCTTGGAAGACCTGGCCCTAAGCCACGAAGTGGTGCCAGGAGCAAGCAGCAAATGGGACCCACCCACCTAATTCCCACTACTTGTGTCCGTCAGCAGAGAACGCCATTCCTGTGATGGGACCGGTACGTTGGACGGCTTGTGAGGACACGTTCTCTTCACCGACATTCAGAGGAGGAGGGACACTTATGAATATCTAATCTGGCCATCATCATCTCCACCGGTGTATAGTTTGTGTCTCCACCCCCAGGGTTAGCCTCAGGATTTGGGCCCATATCTCTGGTACAATAAGCAAGACCCAAAACCCTGGGTCAGGGGCGGGGAATCTTTTTTTGGGTCAGGGGCCGCAGACCCACAGAAAAATCAGTGGGGGAGAAACAAACAAACAAAAAACCCTTCAGCAAGGTGGCCCATGGCTGAGGAGAAGAAAGACACTCCCCGCATTCCCCTCACACACCAGAGGCCCGGCCTGGTAGATTTTGTACACTCTAATACCACAGGGAAACAGCAATGGGGGAGGGTGGGCTTGAGTGCCAGCAAGGGCTCCCCTATGCTGGGAGGAGTCCCGAGCCTTGGGGGCTAGATCCCAGTCCTGAGGTTCCCCACCCCTGCCCTAGATCACCAGGCACCCCACTCCTTTGGTTTTCAAACAAAGCCTCCTCCACAGCGACCATGAACCCAAAGAAGCGACACTACGGGGCGGCTCTCAAGGTCGCACAGAGTCATAGTGGCACCAAGCAGCTGATTATGTATCCAAGAGCTAATCTCATTCCAAGCTGACAAGCTACTGAGGGGGGCCTGCCTACTGCTGGCCTGGATTGTGCTGTAGGGTATTGAGTAGATCCCTTCCTTTCCCCTGCTTTGAGGGAATGTGGATGGAACTCCCTGGAGCGAGCAGTTTTCTGAGGCGGCTGGGCTGGATTCAGAGGAGCACAAGCCAGGTGTGAATTTGCCCGTGTAGTCACTCCTCTTCCGAGAGGCAGACCCCTCTGATAATTAAGAGATGGTGTCAGCTGCGTAGTGACACTCATCCAGCCTTTTCTGGGTAGAAGTCTTGGTGGTGGGAATGAGACAGGTCCCCATCCAGGGGACAGATGAAGGATCCCACTTCAAAAAACCTCCCAGAGATGCTGGGCGTTTTTACGTGGATCTTTCTGAAGTAAAATAAACCCCTCAGAGGCAAACACAGCAGCTGGAGAGAGGTGCTTAAGAATAAATGCATGCAAGAGAAGGACCCTGGAAAATACAGCTCCCTCTTCTATGCTGTGTTTTATTTATAACCTACTGTCCCTCGAGAGCCAAATATCTTCTGGAAATAAGATGCTGAGAAAAAAAT